GTCACTTAATCTCCTGGTTTTTACAAAGTATAAATGTTCTCTTAAAAAAAATAGTGATACATTTGACCAAGCTATGTATTCACTTCTCCCTTGATATCCATCACCCTGAGATCCCAGCTCCCAAACAGTTTCACCAGGAAAAGTACACTAAACAAAAAAGGACACTGAAATCACACTGCAGAAACTGATGTTTCCAACTATGTTTTTTCAGAAACACAACAGAATTCTTAGAGTTATCTGAATGATTTCCCCCTTAAATCAACAATTCATATATACTTAATGGTTAAAGCAAAGTGATGAAATGAAGTAATGGAAAACCAAGTATTACTGCCCTACTATTTTAAAAAGTTAATTTTCAAGTGATGTTTTGCCACTAGCTCCTCACATAAAAATTTATAAAACCTCTTAAAGCACAAAAATCGTAAGAATTGCCAATGCTAGGTCAGTCATGTGCATCAGTTTTGTTTTTTTTTTTAAAATTCTGCTCCATAAAGTGGGACACTAGAATTACTGAAAAGAGAAATTCTTTCCTTTACCATCCACCTCAAACTTTATAGACATGAACTGCAACATGTATTTGTGTTACACATTCTTTATAGACCTCTGAACAATGGAGCAAGTCTCAATCTCTTCAAGTCTAACATTCCTCATCTGAGAATTGAGGAGGTTGCTCTAAAATGAACTTTGTGACCTTTTTCAGGCACAAAATATCTTATTCTAGGTGGGAGAAAACAGTCAGTAGTGTGCTATTAGATATGTAATTATTTAAAGATATATGAGCATAACAAAGTTCAGGATAATATCAAGATTTAGGACTTCATCTGATAAAGACTTACTAAAAATGTTTTTTAAGTAAAGATTATTTAAAAAGATATTTTAATCTTTTCAGTAAACTGCCTTTACATCTAAATTAAATAGCCTGTAATCTGTGTTTGGCTTCAGCTGGGGAGAAAAGGGTAGGAGATGACCACTTCTCAAGATATCTCCCCAACCATTTTCTTACATTTCGAAGTCCAAAAAGGGAAAAATGTTATAGTCTTGATTGAATAGTCACTTTAACTTGAGTAAAAGAGATTAAAATATTAATCACAAAGACATCTTGTGTCTGGCCTATTTTATGTTTGCTCATTGAAAAGTTACCAAAAGCAGCTATTATTTATAGAATTCCTCTCTCCAAAGTAGATCAAGTCATTTTCAACTACTTTTACTCAACAAAACAAAAGCAAAATTTAAAAAAAGTCAAACAAAAAACCACCCCAAAGTCATTAAAGCCATTTAGCAGATGGGAAAAACCAAGGCAAAGGGATTTTCAGGCCTTGTCCTGGCAGATCATACACAGCTGTATGAAGCCCAGGAAGTGGGCCTTTCCTCCAATCCATTTTCCTTCCTCCACACACCATGTCCCCTAAATTCCTGACTCTCAAAATGGTACTTGATAGCTTAAAAAAAAAGGTGTAAGTAACTACTGTATCACATTTTTCCCTTTTAAATCAGATTCACAGCAAGCAGAAAGCAAGGAAATAAAAACTGGGCCGAAATCACTCAGTAATGAAGAGCCCTCAGACTACAAATAAATGACAGCACAAGAACTTTCCGCTAAACTTGCAGTGCCTATTTGTTCTTTTTATGGTCTATAAAATATATCTGAGCGTACATTTACTTATAATTATTTCAAATAGTCATAAAATATCAAAAGTCAGAACAGCATGGCAATGCAGATGCAATTGTTCAGAAGGGGAAAGAAGCAGAATTTAGATGCCAGCTCCTCTTTCCGTTCCTTCCTCATTCCTTCTTCATAGCAGGCAGGTGCTGATTCCTTTGAGAAATCTCACATAACACAGAACTCCTTGAGCTCTTTTGTTTGGATGAGGTTTCTAACAGCCTTTTGGGGTAGAGATGATTGGAGGGAGAAAAGCTAATGAGAGTGAAAGTGCATTTGGGTCAGCAGTTTGAGCCTCATCGCAGGCTCCTGTAGAATGACTAATTTGCAGCATACACCCAGAAATATCCAGGCTTCATGAATTTATAATGACAATGCACACTTTGCCTGTTGCAGGCGGTAAAGTAAGCCTCCTGTCAAAATGCCAAGACAATGCGGAGCAGAAACAATCTCAAGGATGTGGCGAAGAAGGCCATGAAGTGTATGAGTAAGCAAGTAACTCCTATATTGGATCGCCAGTCAGGAACTGCAGAGGTTTGCTTAAGAGAGGAAAAGGCAAATAAAAGTACTCTTTTCATTTCTCAAGGGCAGAGTTCAAAATCTGCAGTTACAGATATCGGTTTCCTTGAGTCAGATCATCTGTGATCAGTGTGACAGTATTTTCCTTCTAGTTAATGAAAGTGCTAAAGGATTTTCAGGTGTAGAGCTTTCCTTAATGATTCAGACATAAAGACCTCATCATTTAAAAACAGCTTCCTCAATGCCAGGACTGCACGTGTGAATCTGCAGCACAATCACCAGCTTATAATAAAAGAAACAGGATACGCTGAGGCTGAATTAAGTGAAATATGGAGCCATATGGGGTGCTGAGGCAAATTATATGGATCCAGGCATAAAACATATGGTAGCCCATCTGCAGAGAGCACTTTGCTAGGCTCCCTGCTCTGAGAAACAGCCCCTGCATTTCAATAGCACCGCTCTTCAAAGAAATCTCTCAAAAGGAGCCCTCCTTTCTATAGCCAGATTAATTGCTCCACTCCGACAAGCTGTCCACAGAAATCACTCACCACAGCAATTCTGGGTAGAAGCTGATGGTGACTCTAGTGAGGGCATATTAAGATACTGAGACGAGTTTCACATTCCAAGTTCTTGAACTAAGGCACCATAATTTTCTAAACCTTTAAACCAACTTCTTAGGTCTTTCATGGGCCAGCAAAGAAATCTTCAAAGACCACATTCCAATCCTGTCACGGGAACCTACAGCAACTGAGGGATAAGGGAAACAATATCCCACTGGTCAAGAGGGACACAGTCCCACCTAGCACTTCAATTTCCATTTCAAGAAACCCACGCTTGGACATTACAGACACATATTTTTCACACAAAACAACCCTGAATATATCGTGTGACATGTCATGAAAATTTTTCCATGTAACTGTTAAGCAGATTGACATTGCTTCCCAAGGTTCTAAAGTCACTAATTGAAAGCCTTCATCACTACATTCTTCAGTAAGATTTCAGTTTGTTTTCCCAAGTGACACTTAAAATGCAGCTGCTGTTACATCACAATGCAAAGTTACACAAAGTAAATTCAGCCCTCTCCTCAAAGGCCACATCCCCCCCCCCTCATTACTTAGAAGACCTCCAGGATTGTTAGCACGGGCTAGTATGACTTAATAAGTAAAAATTACCGCCCTCCCCCCCCCCGCACACACACACATTTGGGTGGCTTTAAAGTTCAGGATTCTCCAGATCAGAGCATTGTTGACTGTTATCATACAAATACAGGGCAAAAAGGTGTGGAAGAAAAAAATGATCTAACGCCCAAGTTGTTCTCAAACTAAACAATAATTTCCATTTCGCACTTAAAAACTTGTCTAGACAAACTCCTAGAAGTGGTCTTGTTTGCAAAGAGCATCCTAGATATTCCCCCCCCCCCCCGTTTTATTGGGAAAGTCTGAGATTTAACATTGTGTTAGGGAGAGGATTTTAAACAGAATTACAGTATCACCGGCTAGAACAGACTCCTCACTGCTGCTTCCACTGGGGAAGCGCCGAGCTCCAGAAAGCAGCCTATCTGTCAGCCCCTCCTGATCGTGCAGCTGGCCAGGAAGCACGAGCTTTTCCAAAGAGACTGAACGCTGAATTAGAAGCAGCTTTCGCAAGCACGAAAGAAACCCCTGTTTGAAGAAGTTTAAGTTACTTCGAAATTAACCTCCCAGTTTGCAAACTCTGGTGAAAATCTTTCCATCTGGCGCGATTTCTCCGTCTCGCCGCCACCCCCAGCTGCAGGGCAGCAGCACAAGGCTCCTTGTCTCCCGTCGGAGGCGGCGGCGGCGGAAACCTGATCCCAGCCCGACTTTCAGTAAACACCAACGCACGGGGCAATAAAGCATCCGGAACATTTGTCTCGGGCGCGCAGCCCCGCCACCCCCGCCCCCGAAATCTTTGATAAGCGGCTGTTAGAGGGGAGATTTATCAACGGTCCCAGCCTCAGGCCGGGAAGGCCAGGGGGAGGGAGGGGGGGAG